AACTCTAAACAAGATTTCTTGAAGGGGCATCATACTCTACCCATTGCTCCTTATGACTTTAATTTTCTTACTGAACATTATTTGGCTATAACACATATACCAAATAATAAACTTCATTCTAACCATAAAATAATACACCATCATCACATCATTTATGATATCCAAATCATAGATATAATTGAAATCAATGCAATACATAATTAATTCACATCTGAATCATAACTCAATTAATGCAATTCATAAACATAAACCACTAATCAATGGATCAATACCACCAACATAAATAGCTTCCCACACATATGAATCAATATACCTGGAAAGCAAGTTTCCCGAGACAAGTAATTAACATCTAACATCATGATGTCAATTCAACGCATTGACACATCCATACATGCATATAAAGCCAATTGCTTATAGTTTTTTACTTTTTATTTTTTTTTTGAATTTTCAAATAACCATGCATGTATATATATGGAGCATCTCACAAAGAACAAGATATCGATTCATAAAAATTTTCCATAGCATTTCATTTGTTCATAACACATGGCTAAAACACATATATAGGTCATTTATATCAAGTGCCCCTTAAAAAAGAAATTCCTTAAAGCTGTAATGCATCAATCAGTCATATATATACATACGTATCAAATGCCACAAACCCAAAAATAAATGTAGGCATTAATTTAGAAATCATAACCAATCAATGGAAACATTTCAATTTCCATTATGGTCCTCTTGCAATCACTCATTGAAAGCCAATCGGCAACATGGGATGAGACTCATTCTCATACCCTTTCAAATTTTTTTTTTTTTTCCTTTTCTCATGTCATTTTTGTTCTACAAACAGAAATTTAATCCGGTTTAATTTACACACAATTAAACCAAACAAATTAATTTGATGATTGATGTCATATTAAAAATTTAAAGCCATAAAACTATCAATAAAAAAAATATTCAGAGAAGCCGTTTCATGGACTTTAATGCCTTTTACAAGCGTGGGTGTAATTTTAATTTCAGTGCCTCAATATACAAAGCATCGATTAAAAAAAAAACGAAACGGTTCTTTCCATGACAAACATTGACATGTTTACTTCCATGAATTTTACTCATGGTTCAAAAATCATATATTCAACAACAATAAACCGGATTTTTTTTTATTATTATTATAATTACAATGATATACATTATGAGTGCAAATTGCAAACCAATGTACAAACCGTAACAGTGCATATAGAATCATGAAAACCGATAAGCACACAATGTGGGAATGGTATTCAAAAAGTAACAGGAATGGTACACCATAAACACAACATATATATTGAAAATCAATATAAACCAAGGCACGATTCTCTGGAAATTACTTTTCAAAATCAATATGAAAAACCCACATTACAGTAATCTCTGTAAAAAAACAATTTTTTTTTAAGAGTACAATGTTGAAATTTCAAATGCTATTCTAGATACCAAAAACGATACTCAATGATAACCAATTGAATATATATAGTATATTATAATAACCAAATTCATTTTCTGTGGAGGTTTCTAAAAACCCACGGGTTATCTAGATAGGCCGAACGAAATGCGTAAATTAAAAAAAACAGAATTTCAACACGAGAACCGAGACACAGAAAAATCAAACCACAGATTTCACACAAATCCACAAAAAATTGTTTTCGAATTGCAAAAAAAATTGAAAATATCAAAATAGAAATTCCACCAATTGAATGTTCACAAGTCGAAACATTAGACACAGATTAAAATTCCATTTCTGTTACTCAAACAGAAGTTCCAAATTAATGACACAGATTAATCTTTTACTTACAAAGTAAATAAAAACAGAAACAGTAAATAAAATAAAACAGAATATACTGATCACAGGTTCAAAACACCAAATTGTCTTAAGATTGTTATGGAAGACAGTGGGTGATGTTAAATCACTAAGAGGTTTGAACCCATGAATAAACCAGAAGGGAGTAGATGATCAGAATTGTCACTGTGCAATTAAAAATATTAAAAAATAGACTTACTTGATATGTATGAAACAGACAGAATCAGAAGAATGAAAAATGCAATATCAGAGGAATAAAATCCGAGCCCACAGAACGTGTCTCCTTAAGACAATTTGCCCCCTCACTGATACCCAAGGTTGATGGACACTTGTCTCCCAGGATAGAACGGATTTCGTCTGAAGAATGGCGGCACTACCAATCAACAGCCCAAACGAACACAACAATATGCCAGAGGAAATCACACCGGAGTATGAAAAGGAATATGCAAAACCGGAAGGAGAAAAAATTCCGGCAGAGTTTCAGTGCAGAAAATTGGATGCATTTTCTGAAGGTGTGAGTGTCTATTTATAGACAACGTAAAGTCACGTTCCAAAAGGCACCTATTCGACGACGAAACAACACATCCGTTGGACACGAAAAGACACATTCGTTCGACACGAAAAGACACATTCGTTCAACACGAAAAGACACCCATTCAAGGATGAAACAACATGTCCGTTAGGATGAAACAACATGTCCGTTAGGATGAAACAACATGTCCGTTAGGATGAAACAACACATCCTTTAGGATGAAAAGATACATCTGTTTGTCGACGAAAAGGCACACCTTTTCACTACCAAACTTCTTATTCATAACCAATAGATTGTCTATACAATTTATATATATATATATATATATAAATTCCAACAAACTATTGTCAAAAGTTTCATATAAGATAAGGCACTTAAAAAGTTATTTATAACTTAATAGTTCTATTAAGATAAGTAATATAATTAAAAAATTAAAAAAAAAGATAAAATTCCTAAAAATAAAATAATATTAATATCCTTAAAATAAGGGATCAATTCAATCAGCTATAACATGTTGGTATGGATGTTCGCGGTCTGGATTGGATCGATTTTGAAGCAAAAATCATCTGATTCAATTCGGTTTAAATTTTTTTTTTAAAATCCGATCCAATCCAATTTTATTCGGTTTGGATGGGATCGATTTTCGATTTTTTGAAAAGTCTAAAATTTCAGTAATACAAATAACTAGTTATATCAAAATAAGCATTTAAAGTTACAAACCACTGAAAAATTCAAGTCTTCAAACTAAAATAAGTCTTAGAACTCATGAAGAGTTAAAATTGATTAATAGATAATAAAAAACTAAAACAAGACAGTTTGTTATCAATAACATCCACAATTTCAAGTCTACAAAACAATAAGATTCTAAGTCACCGTCTTTTGAAAACAATAAATACATGATACATTTGATTACTTTGGATTAGATCAGTTTTCACCAACCAAGCCGAAAACCGATCCAATTCAATTAAAATATGCAGATTTTTTTTTTCGATTTTAGTTTTTCGGTTATCAATTTTTTTGATTTAGTCACCGTGGTTTAAATCGATTTAGATCAGTCGATGAATATCCGCACGTGTTGGGATTTGCCAACAACACTTACCACTATATTAGAAGGACTTCCATGTTTAAAGACACTTTTTATCATATTTATTACGTTTTTTTATATAAATTCAATTGAATAGATTAAACCAATAACCCTATTGGTTCAATTGATGACCAATTAATCGAGTACTCTGGTCGAGTCAATAACCGATGCAAATTTAATAATACATGAGAGAAAGAATAAATTGCTTACTTTGCTAGCTAATTGGTCACTTATATATCTTAAGGTAAAAAGTTTACTTAAGATGGTGTAAATGTCATGCACGGCACATTTGGTGTAAAACGTTTTAAGAGAAATAGAAGTCATGACACATCAAAAAATTTATATTATAGTGATATTTGTTAATTACATTCAGTAAAGAACTATAACACTATATTCATTATTAATATAGTAATATTTATTATATATTAGCAATTTATGACATAAAAGTTAGGACAAAATAAATGCATAATTACTGATAATTATATAAATTTATTTTAAATTAAAATTTATAATCCTTATTAAATTTGACAATAATAGTTATGTATAACTAATTGTTCATCAATTTGTATTTTTAAAAAGAGGTCGTAAGTAGGGGTGTTCGCGGTCTGGATTGGATCGGTTTTGGAAGTAAAACTCATCCGATCCAATCCCTTCGGTTTGATTATGTAATCATCCATTCGGTTTAGATTTTTTTTCAAATCCGATCTGATCCAATCCAATTTTTTTTGGTTTGGATTGGATCGGTTTTCGGCTTTTTGAATATCCTAAAATTAGTTTCATGATTATTGTACAAATAACATCTTTTGTATATATTGGTTTTGTAAATAAAAAAAATAGAAATACAAAAATATCAATAAACAATACTATAGTTGATGAGACGTGACTAAGTTTTTTTTTTAGTTTAGTTGATGAGTTAATGAGTCTTGAGTTTAGAAATATTTGGGTTATGATTGGAGAAAGGACAAGTAGGTAGAGGATAATTAATATATTGGATCGGTTTGGATTTGATCGGTTTTCATCAACTCATCTAAAAACCGATCCAATCCAATTAAAATTTGCGGTTTTCTTTCGGTTTCCGATTTTTCGGTTTTCGGTTTATTCGGTTATCGGTTTTTCGGTTCGGTTTTCGCGGTTTGAATCGGTTCGGATCGGTTGATGAACACCCCTAGTCGTAAGTATACCTTCTCCTTTTTAATATATATTAAAAGGGAAAAGTATTTGTCATTTTAAATGACATAAAGTTATGTCATTTTAAGAGAGAGATAGACACAATTTTTTTTTAAAAAATTTAAATTAAAAAAAACCACCCACTTTCTCTCCCATGATTTTCATTTCTTGTGTCTTTCTCTCTCCTAAAATGACATAACTTATGTCATTTAAAATGACAAACACCAATAATGAGTGATACATACAACGAGAGCGCGTGAGACGCGTGAAAAGAAAAGCTTGAGCTCTGCTAGGATTTTTTTGTTTTGATGGTGGCAAAAAGGGGAAGATCCCCCATCGCAGAGGAGGAAACGATTGCTAACAGAGAATCCAAGAAGGCGAAGGGATAGATGGTGATGGATCTGGAGATGCAAGAAGAACCTTTGATTGCGGGCGCAATGGAGGTTGAAGCTGACAAAGTAGAATATATGTTAGAGATGGAAGGGTCAGACGCTGGCCATACGAAGGGAGATGAAGTTCGGAGGGACCCTCGCAGACTGGTGTCGTACAAGGACCAACTTCTGCAAATCAATGGTGTTTGGGATGGAATACAGGAGGATGAAGAAGACTGGCTTGCACAATGCAAACGGGAGGAGGTCGAGGAAGAAGAAGCTTTGAAAGCCTACGAACAGATAGGGGAAGATGATCCGTTGAATCCTTTCTACCAATTTGATGTTCTGGAGAAAGTGGAACAGTGCAAACGGTGGAGGATGGCGCTGATAGTAAAGCTCATGGAGAAAAGATTAGGAGCGAGATTTCTGTGGAACAGATTGCACAAACTTTGGAACTTGGAGGGGAAGCACAAAGTTCTGGATCTGGAAAATGACCATTATATGGTCGAATTTGAAAAGAGTCAAGACTATCTCTTCGTGCAGCAACAGGGACCTTGGATCGTGGCAGATCATTATCTCATAGTGCAAAGGTGGAGGCCTAACTTGGATCCATTTGATGAGAAAGTTAAGAAGCTGGCAGTATGGATTAGAATTCCAGGAGTACCTAGGGAATTCTATACATACAAGGATTCATGGAGAATGGGGAACATGGTGGGTCGAACGCTGAGGATTGATGAAAACTCCCTGAGAATCAGTGGACAAGGGCAGCTAGAAGAAATCACTGACAGGGGCAGGTTTGCGCGCATCTGTGTTGAAGTAGATTTGAGTAAGAGCCTTCTTTCTAAGTTTAGAGTTGGACAGAGGAAATTATTCATATGATTTGCTTTCTGTGTGGGCAGCACGGGCATAAGAAAGAGCATTGTATGTTTAATCCTGATAATATCAAGAAAGCTGAGGAGGATGCAGATGTGGAGGTTAATTGCCAAAATCCTAGGCATGGTCACTCTGAAGATACTGCAAAGGAAGAAGTAGAAAGGAGTCAGGAAGTTAATGGATTCAGGAATTGGATGACAGTCCAAAAAAGAAACAACAAAAGGCCAATACAACAGCTGAGATCTAAAGAGAATTCTGTTACCAAGGAGAAATCCAATGCAGGAGGTAAGGAGCATGTTCCAAAAAATATTGCCTTTGGGTCCAGATTTGGTCCCTTAGAGGAAGGAGCAGAAGACTATGCCCCAGGCCAGAAATCTGGAGAATCAGAAACTATGATCAACAGTGGAAAGAATGTGGTGGATTTGAATCAACAAAAGAAAAGCAAAGGAGGGAGGAAGAAGAAGTGTACCACTGACAGAGGTGATTTAAATCAGGGGTTAGGAGCTGAGGCTAAGGCTTCAGGAAAACAAATGTTAAACTCCCAACCCTCAGAGAATAAAAGGGGTGCAATTCACAAGCAAACCAATAGGGAGGCCATTCTGGTCGACAGGGGAGCAACAAGGGGGAATACTCAAGGAGAACCTTTTGTTAGCTCTAAATTTCCTAAGAATGTTATAATTATGGGAAACACCAACAGAAAAGAAGAAGATATTAGAGTCAGAGCCTTTCCTGAGCTCAAAGAAAATCCACCTGATGAAGGGAGTGGAGGTAAGGGAGTAGGCCATGAAGAAAGAGCAAGGATTGGCTCTGGATGATATTACAAATACTGCTGATGTCATGCCAAGATCCAATGTTGTGGTCTAGCTGGGGGTTAGTTCTCTATTCTACTTATGCTATTTTTATGATAATTTGCACATGGAATTGTAGAGGAGCAGGTAAGAAGGGCTTTTCTGCTCTTATTAAGGATTTTGTTTTTCAAAATAAGATTCAGATTCTTGCTTTGTTGGAAACCAGAATAAGTGGTAATAAGGCTGAACGTGTAGTTAGAAGTTTAGGATTTAATAGCTTTTTTATAAGAGAAGCTGTGGGTTTTTCTGGAGGTATATGGATTCTTTGGAACAAAAGCATGGCTAAGGTGAGCATTATTGAGGAGGACCATCAATTTGTGCACTCTAAAATTCAGTGGTTGAGTTCAGGGGTTGAAGAGATGTTTACTTTCGTCTATGGAAGCCCTAGAAGAGCTGAGAGGAAAAATCTTTGGGATAGCCTGAAAAGAATTGCAGCAAGTGGTGGTGGCAAATGGGCTGCAATGGGTGATTTCAATGCATATTTAGAGGAAGGGGAGAAAATGGATGGATCTGGTTTGTGTTGGGAAAATATGAAGGAATTTGAAAGTTGTCTTAGTGAGAGTGGTCTCTCAGATTTAGGGTTCTCTGGCCCTAAGCTCACTTGGAAGAGAGGAGCTATCTAAGAGAGGATTGATAGAATAGTGGTAAATGAAGATTGGGACTTGGAATTTCCTAATAGAGCCATTGTTCATCTTCATTTTCATGGTTCGGACCATAGGCCTATAATCCTTAAAGATGGAAACAAAAATGGAAACTTAGGAGGCTTTAAACCTTTCAGGTTCCTAGCAGCTTGGCTGACTAATACAAGTTTTGAGTATGTAGTGGACAACTGCTGGAATAAGGAGGCTGAGTGGATTGATGCTAAAGACAAATTTCATAATGAAGCTTCTATTTGGCACAATTCCAGGTTTAAAGAGGAACAAAGAAGGAAGTATCTGATTCAAAAGAGGATTAAAGGGGTGGATATTCAGTTGAGTAGGGGTCCAGATGAGGCCCTGAAGAGACTTCATAGAAACTTATGGAAGGAGTTAAACACTATTTACATTCAGGAGGAACTTACCTGGTTCCAAAGGTCTAGATGTAATTGGCTAGCATTCGGTGACAGGAACTCTAAATTCTTTCATGCTAGTACTGTGTCTAGAAATAGGAGGAATAAGCTATTAGCTCTTAAAAAGGATGATGGAATATGGGTGGAGGATCCGGAGATTCTTAAACTAATGGCCATTGATTATTTTAAAAGTCTGTATGTAGAGGAGAATCAGATCACCAATAATCTATGTGGGAACCAGTTTCCTGTGATAAACAATCTGAATTGGAGAAGTATTGGCCAAACTCCGAATGTGGAAGAAATCAAGAGCACCATTTTTAAGATGCATCCTTATAAAGCCCCGGGGGCTGATGGTCTTCATGCTATTTTTTTCCAATCTCAATGGGAAAGAGTAGGGAGTTCGGTGATCAAGCTTGTTAGGGATGTGTTTGAAGATCCTAAAAAAGTGGCTAGTGTCAATCAAACACTTTTCTGTCTAATTCCCAAGGTTGAAATCCCGAAAAGGATAAGCCAATTTAGACCTATTAGCCTGTGCAATGTAGTCTATAAAGTTATTACTAAAGTGATTACTAATAGACTGAGAAATCATACGGGCACCCTAATCATGCCTAACCAGTGTAGTTTTGTGAAAGGAAGGCACTCTTCAGATAATATCAGAATTAGCCAGGAGATTTTCACTCTATGAGGTCAAAAAAAGGTAAGAAAGGCTGGATGTCTATTAAAGTGGACTGGGAAAAGGCTTATGACAGGGTGAGTTGGATGTTTCTGGAGGAAACCTTGATCTTGACAGGTCTGGCCGAGAATATGGTGAATCTTATCATGGCTTGTGCCACTTCTTCTACAATGGATGTCCTGTGGAATGGTGAAAAAACAGAAGAATTTAAACCGTTGAGAGGTATTAGACAAGGAGATCCCCTATCTCCTTATCTATTTGTCCTATATATAGAGAGATTGGGACACATGATCAATGCAGCTGTTGAACAAAAGGACTGGTCTCCTGTGAAGCTGGGGAAAAAGGGCCCTCCAATATCCCATCTGTTTTTTGCGGATGACCTTCTGATTTTTTCTGAAGCAAGGAGGGACCAAGCTGAGTTGATAACTAGTATTCTGGATCAGTTTTGTGAAGCTTCTGGACAGAAGGTTAGCTGTAACAAAACGAGATGCTTCTTCTCCAAAAATGTGAACCACACAAGACGTGGAGACTTAAGCCAAATACTAAAGTGTGGCATCACTGCTGATCTAGGGAAATACCTGGGAATTCCTATCCATCACAAGAGAGTGAATAAGAATACATATAGATTTATTCTTGATAAAACAAATAGTAGACTGAATGCTCGGAAGGAAAGGTCTCTCTCCATGGCTGGAAGGGTGGTGTTAACAAAATCTGTGCTTGCTGCACTCCCTAGCTACTCCATGCAAACGTCTTTAATCCCTGTTGGAATGTGTGATGCAGTGGAACAGAAGATGAGAGGCTTTGTGTGGGGATCAAGTATGGAAAAAAGGAAGATTCATGCTACTTCGTGGGATGTGATTTGTAGAGCTAAGAAAGCTAGAGGACTGGGAATTAGAAACTTGAGGTTGACTAACAAAGCTTTCTTGATGAAAATTGGGCATGGTATGCTCACTCACAGGAATGAATTGTGGGTTCAAGTGTTAAAAAATAAATACAAAGTTGGGGATGGCCTAATTCCTAATTTTCCAAAGAAATCTGGTGGTTCAAATCTTTAGTTGGGGCTGTCCAGGATCTGGCTTATGGTGTATGAAGGTTCAAGGATTTTGGTGGGAAATGGCATTGGAACTTCTTTCCGGAAGGAAAAATGGCTGTCTATTGGCCCTCTCATAGACCACACCATTCAAGAAATTCTGGATATTGATGTAGCTCACATGGTGAACTCCAAGGGGGAATGGAAATGGGAGGAGTTTAGAAATGTGATTTCCCTTGAGGCATGGAACCTAATTAAAGGAGTGTGTCCTCCTAATCCGGATGAAGGTGATGACAGGGTGATTTGGGACTGCTCTCAGGATGGGAGTTTTTCCATTAAATCTGCTTTCAGCCTGCTGTGAGATGTAGACATCAGTCATCAACATGGTCAATGGAAGAGAGTTTGGGAGTGGAATGACCCACTAAGAGTTAAAACTTTTCTCTGGATGCTTCTTGGAGAGAACCTGCTTACTAACCAGAGGAGAGTTCAGAGACATTTGGCTACGTCTAGCATATGCCCCCGGATGCCTTAGTGCTCCTGAGAGCTGCTTGCATGCTATAAGGGACTGTAACTGGTCAAAAAAACTTTGGATAAACTTCATTAAACCAGATATGTGGTATGCCTTTCTTTCTCTTCCATTGCAATCTTGGTTAAGTAATAATCTCGGGGAAAAACATTGTATGATGGGAGGGGTTAATGGAAATATTCTGTTTGGTCTTGTTTGCTGGTTTATATGGAAAGAAAGAAATAGGTTTATTTTTGAGAATGTAATACCAAAGGAGGGTGAGACAGGAAGATTGACTTGCTCTTACCTTTCAAATTTTGTAGAAGCTTGTGCTCTATATAGGAAAGCTGGGCTGCAGAATAGTATGAGGAGTGAGATTCTGGTGCATTGGAGCCCTCCTCCTTTGGGATGGATAAAAATTAATACGGATGACTCATCTAAGAAAGGAATTTCGCAAAGTGGGTGTGGTGGAGTGTTGAGAGATGATGCTGGTAAATGGCTGAGAGGCTTTGCTAGGAATCTGGGAGATAGTTCATCAGTGAAAGCAGAGATTTGGGGAATTTATTTGGGATTACAAATAGCCTGGGACCTTGGGTACAGAAAAGTCATAATTGAAGGAGATTCACAAGTGGCCTTAACATGATAAGAGACGGAGTAGCAGACATCCATCCTCTAGTGGGGCTGATTAATAAAGTCATCAATCTGAAGAACCTTAATTGGCAGACGGAGTTTGCTCACATATTCAGAGAAAGGAATAAGGTAGCTGACTAATTTTGCCACTTCTCAAGGATGGGAGACAGTGTTTCTAGATTGTCCTCCTGAGGATTATTTTAGTTTATGGTGTAATGATGTTAAAGGAGTAGCCTGACCTCGTTTGATTAGAGACTTGTAGTTTGCTTTGTATTTCCTTTATTTTCCAAAAAATAAAATAAAAATGACAAACACCAAATCCATATTAAAGTAAAAATTCCAATTAAAAGAACTTTTAATTAATCAAAGCTATAAAGTGAAAAATTAAAAAATATTTTAAGCCAAGTTTACCTTTAAAGAGAAAAAACGTGTTTATAATTTCTTTTTTTTATATGTATATTTTATTCATTACTAATTTTTTTTCTTTTATTTTTTTTGTACATAAAAAAAAAATAGCAAAAGAGGTTCCCGTGAACGACACCGTACCAAAACAACCACCGGTTTCCGGAGCGAATACTGAACCCTAGATCATTACACGCGCCGCTGTCATCTCCTACTCCTGCAGGCGGAATGAAGCGCCGCAACCGCGGAAATCCTGCATCGGAAAATTCAAGCGCTGGCTATCCGTCAAAGCGTAGAAGACGTTCTCAGTTGGGTTCTAGAAGATGGGTTTACTCTTCCAAAGATTGTTCTAATTGCACGGGTCAGAATCACACGAAAGCTTTTTCTTTTGGAAAAATAACTACTTTTTTTTTTTTTGGTAAATGAAAAATAACTACTTTCAATTCGATTTCATTGTGAAATTCTGCATTTAAATTTCATCCAAATTCCACAGCCAATTGTGTGTGTGATAGAATCCTTTTCAGCTTAAAGGGTAAGCTTAAACGTAAAAGGGAAATTAATGAACAGTAACAGTCTGTCCTTTCTTTCATACATAATGGTCTTTAAATAATAGTTACAACTGATGCAGAAACGGTAAAATACATTATAGAAAATAACTACCCACTAAATAATACAGAGGATAACTACCCACTAAACCATACAAGGTGCTTATTAAAGAACACGGGAGTGCTGTTACAAGTCTTCAACTGTTGTGTTGATGGAGCACGTAATCAGTTAGATAGCCTGGTGGTTTACGTGAACGTGGCTCTAATGGGATATCAGGTGGGTTTGTATCAGTGTGCCTTTTTGTTATGTGTGTGTTGATTTATATTTTATTTTTTCTAATTTTTGTGCAGAAAAGTGAATATAGTTTGATAATTAAGAAGATAGGAATAAATAATCTCTCATCCTATTGATTAGAATTCTTAAATTGATAGGACTGTTAGTGAATAATCATTTTAATTGTAAAAAAAAAAAACCAATCACTGCTGAAGTGGTTGGTTGGGAGAATTCTTTACTTTACAAATTGTTCTAACACTTCCTAGTTTTCCTTTTGTATCTCAACTAGCTTTTGGAAGTTGAAAAGAAACCCATATATAATTTATAAACATAGCTAGGAATAGATGGATTCAAAGATCACACTTGAAAATTTGAAAAGTTTATTTTGTTTTCATGCATAAGAAACACTTGATTAGATGAAAGCTTTAGGTAAAACGAAGAGCCACTTGAATTTATTAATGAGTGAGTGTGACAATTAGTAAACTGTATCTTATTGGTGTGTTCTGCGTGGATTCTTCCTGTATAATCTAGATAATGATGTGGAAAGGTCGTGTAAAATAGCAAAAATGGGTACTTGTCAACAACACCCTGTGTCCCCAAGCAACCACTGACTTCCAGAGTGAATATTCAATCCTAGTTCATCACACGCACTACCATAATCCGCTACTCCGGCCGGCGGCATGGCAGGCGGCAATTGCGGAAGTCCTCCTCCAGAAAATTCAAGCGCTGGTTATTTGTCAAAGCAGAGAACACCTCAGTTGGAATCCTCAGTTTCTAATTGCAGTGTGTGTTCTAGGAAATGGGTTTTCTCTTCCAAAGACTGTTCTAGTTGCACGGGTCAGAGTTACAAGAAAGCTATCTGCTTTTGGAAAAATAATTACTTCGAAGTCTATGTCACTATGAAACTCTGCATTCAAATTTCATCCAAATTCCACTGCAAATTGTGTGTCTGTGTTTTTATCTAATTTTGTATGGGAAAGTGAATATAGTTTGTTATGATTGTTTTCCTTTTAAGAAAAAGTTTATCAATTTAGTGTTACATTTCTCTGGTTGAGATTGTCACCTAATGTACAAAAAAATGAGAATTCAATTACGTGATGCCATTCTACGTAGTCATGTACATTCATTCAGTGCTTTCTCCCAAACTTTCAGTTACTTAGGGGGCAAGGGAGTGGCATGTTTACAACCAAATAAAAAATTTGCATGAATCTACAGAATGATGTCATTTGCTTGCTCATGGGTAATGGTTATTTCCATTAACAGTCTATTATGAAAATGGCTAATATGTTGCTCTGTATTCTGGTGCCACTGTCAATTGTTCTTTAAAGTAGATTGTGTTTATCTCATATTTACTATTCTGAACCCTTTCCTTCTCTTGCAGATAAGGTTGTAGTTGTTTCATACAATATACTCGGTGTTGAAAATGCCACAAAACATCTGGATTTGTATTCTAATGTTCCACGTAGTCTCTTGGAGTGGGACAGGCGGAAAGGGCTCATACTTGAAGAGATTAATGACTATAATGCAAGCATACTGTGTTTCCAGGTAGTTATTAATCCTTCCCTATTCTATACATTGCATAACACTACTTATTAGCTTGTTAAAAACTTACAACCATACTACATTTAGGATATAGCATCTCTATTGAGCTTTGAAAGGTAGAAAAAGAAGAGTTAACGGTACTGATTTAAGTGAGTTTTTTTTTTTTTTTTTTTAGCTACAACTCTTGATTACATCTGTAATGACCCGAAATTGTTTTCAAAAATAAAAGAATGGAGTCGCTACCAATTTTATTTATTTTGGGAAAAATTGGAAAACCAATTTTATTTTGCAAAATGGTCTTTAATGTTTTAGATCAAGGTTCGGGAGTCTAATTATGCACAGGGAAGGGTGGAAACTCAATCCCACTTCACTCCCGATACATCCATTTTAAAACGGTTACCTTAAGTTAGTTGTGCAAATTATTAATAGCTTTTAAAAATATTTGCTTTATTCCTAAAAGAGATATATGATTATTTAGAATCTAAATTATTAAAATTTTATTTTAGGCCTGACGGGAAAAATCTTTCTCCCACATATCTTCTGGTGCAGTGAGGAATTCAAAGCTATGTTGTTCTTTAGAAAATATGTATATGTTGGTTGATTTTAATTTTGAAAATAATTTTATTTGATTTCAACAAGCCATCAAGACTAAATTACCCACTAAAAATAAATACAAAATATTAAATGTAAATAAGTTTGGGTCAACATGCTGTCAGAGCTAACATGATCCTAAAAACTATAAGATTAACAAGTCGTCACGGCTAAATTAATATCTAATTATTGAAAATAAATAAATAAATAAAAAATGATATCAAGCTGTCACATCTAAAATGACCCTACAAAAACTATAAGATTAACAAGTCGTTACAGCTAAATTAATCTCTAATTATTAAAAATAAATAAATTAATACAAAATGATAAATCCAAATTAGTTTGGGTCATCAAGCTGTCATAGCTAAAATGACTCTACGAAATCTATGAGATTAACAAGCTGTCACGGCTAAATTAATCCCTCTTAAATTTCTAAACACATACAACTATATAATAAAATTCCTATTCTACATAAAGAGCAATTAAAACATGCATAAAAATAAAATAATTATTAATTATAAAGAGAAGGTAAGTAAACTTACCTCAAAGGTGACAAAACTTGGTATATAGAGCCAAGTTGTGAATAGCCAGTCCAATTCTCCTAAAAAAAATTTTTACTATGACACAAGCTTAGTGTTAAGCCCAAGTATCTTTTGTAACTCTTGGAAGAGTCTTAGGTGTCAAAGTACAAAGGAGGGTCTCCTTATATAGAGGGGAGGGGAGGAGGAGGAGGAGGAGGAGGAGACAAGATCCCTCCAATGTGGGACTTTTAAAAGAAAGGGTATAGGTTCTACCCATGTAAGTTCAACCTTTCTTTTGCCCATTTTTTCCTTTGATGATTGTTGGTATAATTTTTGCGATCAAACATGGACAAAATTAAATATTGACAATTTTAATTATTTTTTTCATTTTTTAAATAATTGGGACAAAATTAGGTGTTAACAACATGTATTCATGTAACAAAAGGGGATTCTGAATCTGTGATATTTTAAGCATGTTCAGGCTTTCTCGAGACACAAGTTACATTGATGTTAATTCCAGTTAACACAAACATCTTAATTTTACCCAATTTAGTATTTCTTCTCTGTTTGAAATTGTAAGGTAACATCTTGCATCCAATTGGATTGTCAAGAATATTTTTCTCATAAATCCTATGTTTGCAGGAGGTTGATCATTTTAATGATTTGGATGATCTTTTCCAGACAAATGGCTTTAAAGGTGTTTACAAGGTAGGTTATATACATCATATTTGAACTGTCACATAAGTTTTAAAAATGAAAATATTCAATCAAACTCCTTACCTGGGTTATTATCATTCATCGCAGGCTCGCACAGGGGAAGCACACGATGGGTGTGCTGTATTTTGGAAAGATAAATTGTATGTTTCCATCATACTTATTAATCTCGGATAGCGCCTGACCCTCCAAATTGCTATAGCGCTACAATGCTACTGTGCAAAGTGTACCTAAGTGATACACTAAATTGTACTCCACAAATATAAAACTTAAAATATGAAAATGTGACATAAAAAACAAATTTGAAGGATCTCAAACTCAAACATAAATGATTTCAAACATTAAAATTCAAATCATAAGCAAATTGAAGGAATTAAAGTCTCAAATAATGTAACACAACAAAATAAAGTGGCAAAATTAGTCAGAATTCACAACTGCCACTTAAGTGAAATGTCAAAATCAAAAAACTTAAGGAACTAATCATAATTGAAATTATGAACATCCAAATCTTCATCTTCACTTTCACTTGTATCTAATTTGTAAATCTCTTCTTTCTATGACGAGAACACTTATGTAGAAACTACTGTAGCGGCACAATAGCGTTGCGATTCAGCCGCAGTAGTGGCCGTTACATCCGCTTAACTTCGCCTCACAGTAGCGGCGCGGTTTGTGTCGGCCAGTCACTGCACCGCAACGCAACTCCGCTATAGCGCGCTAAAGCGGGGCTATTCACAATTATGGTTTCCATTACCTCAAGTCATTTAAATAACTGAGTTTTTTGTATCCTATATTAATTTGTTTATATGTTTAACCTTTGACACTAACTAAGTTGTCAAATATTTCTTGATACAAAAGAATACCAATAGCTCAAAGATGTGCATATCATAGAACATAGCAATTCAGAAAATATGGAGTCCCAAAATTTGACCTAAACACAGTATATTTTGAAATTTGAATGCAGATTCAATCTTTTGCATCAAGAAGATATAGAGTTCCGAAGATTTGGCCTCCGTAACAATGTTGCTCAACTTTGTGTTTTGGAGGTATTTAGAGTTTGTTTCCTATTGTCTTTTTCTTGAAAGGTTTATGATACATGATGCAAACTTTTACCCTATTTTACCTAGTATGCCATATATTATGTGTACATTTGTTCTTGTTGCATTGAAACCTATTTAAGTTTTTTTTTTATATCTTATTACTCTTTATTTCATTATCTATTTACAGGTAAACCATGATAAACCAGAATCTGGCACATGTAACCTATCAACAGTGTAAGTTTTATTTCTAAAATGGGTAGTATAAAACAACTTCCTAATAAACCCTAACTAGCGAGGGTAGAGGTGAGAGAAATCCTTATATGCAGTTTTATCCTTGCATATTTTCAAAGAGGTTGTTTCTCAAATTCAAATCTGTGAACTTTCAATTACAATGGAGCAGTTTTACCATTGCTCTAGGCTCGCCCTCCTGTCTAAAATGGGTAGTATGATCACAATTATTTGTCTTTGACATATATTGTGACAAATCCACAAGCAAGAGAGCTTAGAAAAGCTAGTCTTACTCTTCTTATAACCTTCATTTTAGCTCTAATCTTTGGCAGCAAAGATAGTCTAAAAGTGAAAAGTTTGGAAAAAAAAATTTATGCACTTATGGATTCACGTATGCTCGCATACACATGGTGCCTATTTCATGACCATGGATTTTATATATTTCCTGCTTAGTAACTAATTTATTTTACAACTATAGGGCACCTTCTACCAGAAAAAAAAGATTTGTAGTAGGAAATATACATGTACTGTTCAACCCAAATCGTGGTGACATCAAACTTGGCCAGGTACTTCTTGAACTTTCTTAACTAGTTATCTTGTGTTAGCCTGATTCTGCATGTGTAGGCATTTGTGTTTGTGGCTGTCATTCATTTTTTTTTTAAATATTTTTTTCTTGGCTTGGGATGTGTTATTCATTTTGTCTCACTCAAACAAAATGTATTTGATTGTCTATAGTTAATTAAGTTTTTTAATCTATTTTATTGATTGTGGTAACTTGCTACGTGACATAATGCATAGGTCAGACTTTTACTTGATAAAGCTTACCATTTATCACAAGAATGGGGCAACATCCCTGTTATTATTGCTGGGGATTTAAATAGTATTCCACAGGTAAGGTCATGCTTTGTACTTAGTAGTTGATCAGCTTCAGATTAGTGGTACATTGTGCTGTTTTTTCATTACTTATATTTGTTTTTCATCTCATGTTGTCAGAGTGCAATATATAAATTTCTGTCTTCATCCGAGGTGAGTTTGGCATCTCCTCGTCATGTTATACTCTAAAGCTTTTTAGCTTATTTTTTTGTGCAATATCTGAGAGAAACTTGATTATGTGGACAGCCCTTGAGTTAGTAATTCATCTGTGTTTGGGTTACAGATAATGAGGGGAATGGAAAGGGAATGAGAGAAAGGTGAACATTCCCTTTTTTGGGAGTTTTAATATAGATAGGTAGGGAAAGGAATTCAGGGGGATATATTTCCCCTCTGTTCCTGTCAAAGACCCAATTTTTTCCCCTTGAAAATTGGGGAGGAATTGGAGTTCCGTTCCTTTCCCGTATTAATTTTCCAAACAAGGGGAATGGTAGCTTTGTTCCATTCCTTCCCTTCCCTTTCCGGCGTATACCTACTAGTTTCATTCCATTTCATTAATGAAAACCACATCCAAACACAATTAGGGGTGGCATTTGTTCTTCACGGAGTGGGGGCTATTAACGAGTTTTCTGCATTTATTTGTTAAATTATATGCTCCGTTTATTGCAGTTAGACATCCAATTACATAATCGCAGAAATATGTCAGGACAGCTTGAAATCCAGTCCAAGGGCAGAGTCTTCAGATCACAGATTGGTGATGATGCCAGGTTGTTTTGGAGTTTGTTCAAAGTCTTTTGTTTCAGTTACTATCTGTCCTAACTTCACCTCCCTGCCCCCTCCTACAAAACAAAGCAATTATTAATGACGAAACATATTCAGGATCATTTATTTGTCCAGACTTCAGATTATTTGTTGACATGGATAATGCGCTTTTTTATTGCACTCATGAAAATTAATACTTATTGTACACCCTTTATTACTATTATTATTATTTCTCCAATTTTAGAAGGAAAGGTTGTAATCTTTGTTTATCTCAATAATTTTTGTTTATCTCAAAAGTTAGATGTTAGGTATTCTGTAATAATATCTGGGTGTGTATCTGGTGCAGCATTTCAACGTCTGTTTCAAGGCAGTTGCTATATAGATGGACTGTGGAAGAACTAAGACTTGCAACTGGTGCAGAAGGTGTCACCCATCTTCAGCACCATCTCAAGCTCTGCAGTGCTTACAGTGGTGTTCCTGTAAGATGTTTTAATCTGCCAACTATATTTCTGAGTCTAATATCCAACGTCATTAAAATTGTTACAATCAGCTATTTCTGCAACTTTTTTTGTGCTTGAGATGAAAAGTTTATCCATGAAATACTTTTAAGGGAATCTCCTTTGAAATTTATCATTTGAAATTCGGACAGTTGTGATATTTCCCACTTAATCTTGCATAAATCTCATATGGTTGATGCTGCAGGGAAACCATAGAACGAGAGATGATATTGGGGAGCCCTTGGCAACATCGTACCACTCCAAGTTCATGGGAACTGTTGATTATATCTGGTAATTATAGTTTCATAGTGAAATCTAAAATTATTTGCATTTACAAATTATTCCTTACTGATGTCAGTGGTGAACAGGCATTCCGAGGAACTTACTCCAGTTAGAGTTCTTGAAACCTTGCCCATTGATATTCTTAGAAGAACTAGGGGACTCCCTAGTGAGGTACTTTACTTGAAAATTGAAACCGGGCCTTATTGTATGTATGCTTATGTATTTTTTTCCACATTGGATTTTTAATATCTCTATGATTCTTTCGTGCCTTGCAGAAATGGGGAAGTGACCACCTTGCTGTTGTATGTGAATTGGCTTTTAGTTAGGTACTTTACTTAAAACCGGGCCTTATATGTATATATGTATGCTTATGTATTTTGTTCCACATTGGATGATTGGGTTTATTAATATCTTTATGATTCTTTCATGCCCTGCAGAAATGACTTAGTGACCACCTTGTATGTGTCCTGATTGCATCAGTTTGCAATTCCAACCCTATGCTGAATGTTCTCATTCTTCAAATCTTTCTGTAATACTATGTATGAGTTATGAGCCTTAAGCTGATTAACAAGTATGGAGATTGAGTAAAGTTAAAGCATTGCCACCATTGAAGATCTCATTGAGTCGTAGTTGATTCCACTCTCTATCCCTTTCAAAACCTTGTTTTGCTCGGTTCATTGCTTTCACAGTAAAGGAGCATCATGAGATCAAACTGTGAACTCCACCTGATATTTTGAAAGTTGCAACAGATCTGCAAACTCTCCTTCCTAGCTCAGATGTTGCTTGGAAATGCTTTAAAATTCATCAAGAACTTTCTGGATAGTGAACATGCTAGGTAACCACTGATTATGAGGTTCAGAGAGCAGTTGGTATATATCTAAAATATTTTAATGCTCTGAACAAATTGAGTGCTATTGTAACTTATCTTTTGAAGAGTTTTCTCAATAATTGCAGCACTTTCAATCAGGAACTCCAGTTCTCCAAAAACTATGTTGACGAGTTATCAAATTATGAGATATTGCTTTCTACCCGGGTTTTTGGGGGAGTGGGTGTCCCTGTTTAGGGCTAATGCTCCTAATTATACATTGTAGCTCCTGGTATCATGTGAAACTAAACTACAATTTTTTTATTTATTATTATCCTATTGATTTGAAAGGCTAGTCACACGAGGTTTGTTGTAGTGGTTCGGGTACACATGATCCCATTCCCAAAATAGCAAAGGACAGGGGAGTGGGAGGAAATTTTTAAAGAAGTGAGGGATTGGTGGGAGGGAAGCAAATTTTTCCAAAAATAAAAAAAGTATCACCCAAAAAAATTTGATCCCGGATCACTTTAAAAAATTCCCTAGTCACACTCACACATATATATGGGCTTCGAGTTTCTTCAGACGCATAAGATTATCATGTTTTCTGCGGAGAGAAAATCAGCTAGACCCCACTAGATTTTGTGAAATAAAAAATACAAAATGTTTGACACGTTTTTCGAAGTACGAGTGACTGGAGATTGATAAATTCTTGTGACATGAGAATTGGTTTTGCCTAAGTATGAGTGACGGGAGATTGATAAATTATTGTGACATGAGAATTGATTTTGCATATATATATATATATATATATGGGAAATAATTTTCTTATGTTGTAGGAAAATGCTTATCTTATGTTGTAGAAACAAGATTGCAAGTGGGACCCATAGGTAAGAGGAGAAAGAAAAAAAGAAGTGGGATCCACCTAGCTTTTGTGTGTGTAGGAAATTTAGTTATCTCATGTAAAAGTAGATAAATATAACCCTATATATATATATATATATATATATATATATATATATATATATATATATATATATATATAGGGGATAGATCTTTTGACTCTAGAGTAAGACTTACAAGTCTTACTCCTCATCTCAACCATTGATTTCTGTCCATCTAACGGTTATCTATACCAATTAATTAATTATTAATTTCAAATAAATAATAACCATTAGATGGACAGAAATCAATGGTTGATGAGGAGTAAGACTTGTAAGTCTTACTCTAGAGTCAAAAGATCCCTCTATATATATATATATATATATATATATATATATATATATATATATATATATATATATATATATGAGGTTTGATTTTCTCATGTTATATGAGAATTCAATTCTCATGTTGTGACTCAACTAGTGGTGGGTCCCACATTTATTAAAAAAAGAAAAAGAAAAGAAAAGCTTTGCACGTAAATCGAAGGGTCACAACATGAGAATTGAATTCTCATGCAACATGAGAAAATGTTTTCCCTATATATATATATATATATATATATATATATATATATATGGGTTAGGATCATTTTACACCAGTGTAAGTTACACCTTTAATCTTGTCCGTTGATTCCACTTATATCTCAAGGCTCTAATTTTTTTTATTAATGTGAGCCATTTGATACAAGTGGATCAATGGTCAAGATTGAGTGTAAGACTTTTAACTCTTACACCGGTGTAAGAATATCCTGCCCCATATATATATATATATATATATATATATATAGGGGAAAAGAATTCTCATGTTACATGAGAATTCTTTCTCCTACTAGAGACACATCGAAATGTGTGCAACAACTTTTTTTATTTTTGTTTTTTAATGAGAGGTGGGACCCATTACTTATTGTGTCTATAGTAGGAGAATTCTTTCTCCTACAACATGAGAAAAGAGGGACCCATATATATATATATAAGATTTTATTAGTATCATGTTACATAACTTAAGAAAACTTTCCTACACATACAATTAAGAGGTGGGGTCCACATATTTTTTTTTTCTTTCATCATTCCACTTTCTCTCTCTTATATCATGTTACATTATTCTCATAAAACCCATATATATATATATATATATATATATATATATATATATATATAAATGTTAGCACTAGTTTTAAGGACTACGTTAGCTGATTCAATCGAAAGACGTGTTATGTGTCTTATGAGACTCAACCAAAAAAACTGAAGTTACAAATTAATAAAAAGGGAAAAGTTCACCAATGCCCCTGTGGTTTACTTCAGAATCACCTATGCCCCTATGGTTTTTTTTTATCATATATGCCCCTGTGGTTTGTAAAAGGTAAAACCATCATATCCTTTTGCTTAACACTGTTAAATATAACTTTACTCTTCCAATTTTGCCCCTGAAAACATTATTTAATAAAATAAATCTTAGAATCAAAATATGTTACGTTATGTTGTCTTCCAATTTTGCATTACGGGATGGTTAGATGTCTTCTTCTCTGAGGTATGCATAAGATGCATAAGAAAAGTTGTGCCAAAATAAAAAACAGCTAGACTTTGTTTACATTATGTTGGTTCACTTATGTTATTCTATCTATATTGCAGAGTTCTTACTCACTTGACTATATACTATTTCTAATAAAAATCAGCAAAATGGAACAGGTTCCAGTATATATTTTTTGCTGATTGAAAACCTTCAAAAATTTCCAAGATCTGAGGTGACTTATTTTTTGCTATAGGATTATATTGACACTCTTCAAAGCCTTCCTAAGACTAAACTGTTGGATTTGTTCTAAAGCAAACATGTGCGCTCTGTAGTTGTAAGTACCATACTTTTCATGCAGAAGTCCAATAACAGTGTCTAATAACAGTGTATGTAATTACTCAAAGGATCTTAACTATTTGTAACAATTTCAGATTGGTGTCGGGTTAATGGTATGTCAACAATCTGTTGGAATTAATGGTATACAGCCGAGACTTTTGTTGCAGCCGGTAAGTGAGAAAAAATACATGCTGATTTTGAAAAAATCAGAAGAAATCTGTTTCTACTGTTATATTAATTCCTCTATAACTTGATTTGCAGGATTTTCTTCAGGAAGTACACCAAAGGAAGCCACCAAGTAAGAAGTAAGCCACCACAGGAAGTACAACTTGGTCTTTTGCCTTTTCTGTCACCAGCCACTGTTACGAGAAATAGGACAGAATTTGACATAGAATAACAACTTCCAAAGACTTGAGCAAGCAAAGAGTAAAGTTATATTTCAAACAGAACCAAAATAAAGCAAAAATTCTCACAAATGGCCAAATATAACCTGCTCAATTTAGCAAATCAATTTATATTAACTCAAAATAAGCAAGTGTACATCATAACATGCTTCATCTATTATATTAACATTATATCAAATCCAAAAGCAACTCTATTTGTAGTTGCAATCCACAAAATGTACACGAGTGCATTGTACTTTATCATATCAAAATTTATTTTCTTCTTGCTGCTCAATTTGTCAATCTATCATTTCTTGTGGACATTCATTAGGTGTTGAAGAAGTACCACTATGTTTTCCTCCTCTTGTAGCCATCTGTCAATGAAAAATACCATAAAATTAAGAACATATAAATAACAATATGAAGTAAAATAGCATACAAATAAGTGCATTACCTTCTGTCTCCTTAAAGGAGGTATGGCTATATGTTGTGCTTGTTCTCCTTTAAGTCTTGCCTTCCTTTGAGATGGTGTTTCTCCAATAACAGATGCCTTGCAATTTCGAACATTATGCCCCTCAACACCACAGTTTCCACACTTTACAGGTTTGTTTATCCTTGTTACCTTCTTATAAGGGTTTGAAGCCTCACCAGGCTGTTTTTGCCTCATCTTCTTAGGCCTACCGGGTGGTTTTTTTATGATAGGAGCAGCAATGGTTGAATGACTAGTAACTAAATAGTCATGTAGATCAGGAATGGGGTTGATAGAGGATGAATACACCTTTAGGTAGGTTTCCTTCGAGAAACACTTATCAACAAAGTCTTCTGGTGTCATCCTCCAATATCTAATTGCTGCAATCCCATGGACACAAGGTATTCCAGTTAATCCCCAAACCCTACAACTGCAACATTTCTCCCTAATGTCAGTAGAAAATGATTTTTCATGCCACATTACTTCAACCTTACTGTCAGAGGCAGGTATAACAATACATTCTCTTGATATATTTTTAAGACTTTCGAGTCTTTTTTGGATATTGGGTGTTATTGGTCCAGAATATTGCTCCATACCAGTTTTCTTCACATGCAACCGTGACATTAGCTTCTTCCGAATCCATTCAAGCATTGAAATTATCGACATTTCTCTAGCTTGCAAGATGTAAGCATTAAATGATTCAGATATATTATTAACCACAACATCAGTTTTGGCCTTGAAACTGAAATGGGATCGTGTCCAACATCTTGGGTCTAAACGCTTCAAATATGTATATGCTTTCCCATCATCAATCTTTTGCAGCTTCTTCATAGCAATATCAAATCCGTTCTCAGTTGTCGCAGTGGCTGCCTGCCATAGTAAGTCTTTATATTGTTTCCCCTTGAATTGCTTCTTGTAATTTTCAAACAAGTGTTTTACACAAAACCTGTGCTCAGTATTTGGCAAAAGATCTTCAAAAGTTTGAACTAACATACATTCTCTGAAATCTGGGAGGAAATTCTTTAAATATCCCATCAACCATCACATGAGGTTGTGGCTCTGTACTTAACCTAACTAAACTTCCAGGATTGGTCTTTATAATAGCCTCACCATATGCCCGTGACACTTCAAATTGATGAGCATGATCTCTATAAATTATCTTCATTGCCTTCCTTCTTGCTCTATACAACCTTTGCAACCCAATGTCATAACCCAAAATCTTATTTACTCGATTCTGCATTCCTAGTATTGACTCCTTTGGATTTGCTCTAAAATCCTCTAACAATTTTTTCCCTAAGTAATCAGAAGTAATGAGGTTATTTTTTGCTTCTCTAGGACATGTGTGGTCAGGGTTCCATGATTTAATTTGAAATGTATTTTCTCCTCCCACCGATGATGCATGCACTAGGAACTTACAATCTTTGGATACCTTACAAATAGCTCTTACCCTTGTCCTGTCAGATTTTTTGCATTTGTATTCAACCCCACGAGATATTGACCATTCTTTCAAAGCTTCTCTAAATTCATCAACATTAGCAAATTTCATGCCAACTGATAATTCAATGTTACCCTCCAATGCATTTTCTGACGTGAAATCAGCATAATTATCATAACATTCATGATCTTCATTGTCACTTGGGCCTATTGACTCTAGTTTATCACATGTAATAGGCTCCATAAATTCCTCCATATCTTCCTCATCTAATGACTCTATTGTTAGTGCATTGCAAACTGCATCAGTTGCCTCATCATCCAATATATCATTTTCAAAGTCACTTCCATCATCTTCCATGGCTTCAAAGAACTTAGTATCAACCACATATGGAAGTTAGATTCTAAATATCAAACGCTAAAAATTCAATAGGGAAAAAAGGAAAAAAGGCAGTTGAGCACCTGTGACAGTTCCACTGGATCACTTTGAGTTGTAAAGTCAAATGCTTCATCTAAAGGAGGCGATAAAAGACCTTCTTCATCCCCTATTTCTTTTCGGTCACTACAATCCAAAATACCAATAATATGTAAGATTAATTAAAATAGTATAAACATTTGTATACTAGAATTATGGTTCCTAATAATACTTAAAAGCAAAGAAAGTTAGGTGGACCGCTTTATATACTGCATTAGTTTTATAAACATTGGAAGCTTCATGCCTTCTTATAATGTTATAACCTGCTCCTATAGATGTTCATGTTCCCACGTTACTACACCCCATTGACCCAACTATATATTGATACACATAGCAGAGAAAACAGAGAAAAAAAAGATCAAAGAGAAGTCTTCCTTTCTTTCCATTTAAAAACACATTTCCAGACATGATAACATTTCTGGATAGTCTACCTGCAACAAGTCCCAATTATCTGATGTTAAAGCTCATAAAATAGGATTATTCATAATTAAGATTCTGAACAATATATGGTCTATCTTCTGAGACTCTTGATTACTTAGTCTTCACCTACCTTTTTTTTCTTCTTCTTCTTCTTTTTAAATAATGCATAGTCAAGCATATAAAAGCATTTTGTTGAGGCTTCTGTTTGGAGAATACAATGATTTTACATTTATTTTCATTTTTCAGCAGAAGCACTAAGGTTCTTTTATAACCAAAGTCCGTGACAAATAGTCAGACATTCATAAAGTCCTCTGCTAAAGGGTAGATGCTATTCAATTGTCAATAAATGAAATGTGTTTTTCCAGAGAGGAAAGGAATGGGCCATAGTGAGGAGAACTCATTTATTTTTCCATGTGTGGGTAAACCTAATGGCTAATTTTAGCTATCTTAAATTAATCTTTAAAATTCTAAGGTTTTGCTTCACTATTTGAAATGATATAAAAAAAATGGTACTGTATTTAATGGCTTCATGTTCATTTTTACCCTCATGTGTCAATCTATAATACCTTCAATCGTGCACTGTGACAATGTTTCCTTGAATAAATGGCCCACTGCATTAGTTTTATAATGATGCAATGTTGAATATTTGACACATGTGATTGATGAGTCTATCAAACAAATTAAAATACGAAACCCGATGGTGACCCTTTTAACCATTCAAGTCAAACATTGGAAGCTTCATGCCTTCTTATAATGCTATGATCTGCTCCTATACATGTTCATGTTCCCACGTTACTAAACCCCATTGACCCAACTATATATTGATACACATAGCAGAGAAAAAAAAGATCAAAGGGAAGTAGTAATATCAAGAGCTGCAACTTTCTAAAATGGCAGAGATATATAAGAGAAAAAATGACAATATTTACCCAGCAAGAGCACGCCTTTTTCGTTCAAGATGGTCATCTTCTTCTGCATCCAGAGCTCTTTTGTTTGCTGGTCTCTGTATTTGCATGTCACAAATGTAAAACAGTGACGAAATCAAACAGAACAAAAGGAGACAAAAATATGGAAAACCCTCTTATAATCAACAAGAAAAAGTAATATTTTTACCATAATTTCAACCTTTAACCCAATCGAATATTTGATTTGAGGAAATCCTAGAAGAAGAGGCACAGGAACTTGAACGAAATAGAAAAAGGTAGTGCAGGGGGTTTTTTTTGCACGTAGATGGGCATAAATGGAATGAAAAAATAAACTTTTAACGGTGTTAAACAAAAGGATATGATGGTTTTACCTTTAGCAAACCACAGGAGTATATGTGATAAAAAAAAACCATAGGGGCATATGTGATTCTGAAGTAAACCACATGGGCATTGGTGAACTTTTCCCTAATAAAAATTAAAAAAAAATAAAAAATAAAATGAGTTGATCGTTTCTGTGTGTTTTGTTTTGTGCTCATACACTTGGTGATTATCTAAATTGCAAGATTATAAGATACAATTATGAAAATCCACGCCATAGTGCAGATTTTCGTTGTCAGCTACACCTAGAACAGGAAGAAACGAGTATATTTTTAAATGATTCACGCTTAATTATCATTTTTAATGCTTATCTGAAATTAAGGAGAAAATACTCGTTAATTTTTTTTTAAAAGGGTACCATTTCTTCCATTTAATTGTCATGCTTTTCCTTTTACCCTTCTGCATTTTTTTTCCCATTCATCAGCAGCAGCAGCCAAAACCAAAGTACAGTTCCTCTTATACCCAAAAAAAATATATATATGATATTGTTCCTCACGTTGTTTTTGGAGCACTGTCTTTTTAAAATGAACATAAGAAAGAAGTAAAAAAATTGGAGACACAAACTTTCAATATCTGTGCAGAAGCCAGAAAATATGCAACAAATTTTTAAGTTTCACAAATGGACTGCTCCAAATCTACAGCAAATACAAAAGCTTGAATCTTGGACGGCTGTAAAAGGCCCAGACAAAATCACAAGAGAACAAAGCCTCAACGATTGAAAGCAATAAGATTAAACTCATTTTGTTTGTCTATGCATTACATACTCCGTAACTGTAACTACTAGTTTTACTCTTAACTGCAAAATTTTAGTGGCATTCCTAATTTAGAGTTTTGTCAATCCAAGCTAACTTCAAATCATCAAAAGTACAGTCAAGAGGGGGAAGAATGCTACCATCCCCCTTTTTCACATTCCACCTAGAACAACCACTAATGTTATTGTCCATGAAGTTATAAGAGCCATTACCAAACAGCATTGTACCGTTCTATACTTCATCCAAATTGAGATTCTGACCGGCCAATGATGGCACAATTGGCTCCTCAAGCAAATGTTCAAAAGAATGATCTTCTCCATAAACTGCTTCCACAACATTTGCTGAAAACACAACATATGATGACGCACAGCACGGCTTCGAGAATAAATACCTCAAATGGAAAACACAACATCGAGTTTCAGCCTGCAAGATACATCACATTGTCCCGGATTGTTCAATAATTTACCTGTACATGCAATTAAGCTTGCAAGTTTCAGCTTGACAAACAATTTAGCTGTGTATATTATCATGGATTGATCTTCTGCCTCTCACTCCAATTCCTTGATTCTCGATTATCTCTATTTGTGTGTGACTCACATGGTAATCTCCGTAGGTCCCGACTTCTGTTTCCACCCCACCAATAAAGAGCTTGTCGGCTACTACTTGAAGCGTAAGGTTGTTGGAAAGCCCTTTCGCTTTGATTCCATTGCGGACGTTGATGTTTATAAGTTCAAACCATAGGAACTCCCCAGTAAGCTTTTCTTTCTCTCTTTTTAGTGAGTCGGTGATTGAAATGCTTTTGGTGTTTTAGGCAAGTTGAAGTGACGAGGGACTTATAATGCTAGCTGCTTCTTTGGCTCTCTGGACATGAAGTACTTTTTCAGTGCTCTAGAAAGGAAGTATGGTAACGGTTCCAAGACGAACCGCATCACACATAAAGAATGTTGGAAGATCACTGGAATAGATCACCCTATCAAGCACGGCGACCGGATGAAGTAGCCATGCTTGACGGAACAATCTTGCCGATGGTCTTCCAACATCCTTTCTCTGTGGCACGGTTCGTCTAGGAACCCTTACCATATTTTATGTCCACAGCGCCGAAGAAGCAGCTAGCACTCTAAGTCCCTTGTCACTTTGACTTGCCTAAAACACCAAAAGCATTTCAATCACACCGACTCACTAAAAAGAGAGAAAGAAAAGCTCATTGTGGAGTTCCCCTGGGTAGAACTTATAAACATCAACATCCTAAGATCGAAGCGAAAGAGCTTCCCAACAACCTTCCGCTTCATGTAGTAGCCGACAAGCTCTTCATCGGTGGGGTGGAAACGGAAGTCGGGACCTAGGGAGATTACCGTGTGAGTCACAGAGAGATCATGATAATATGTGAATTGTCATATACCACCAAACAGATCTTCCGCACGAGGTCATCAGCAACATCCTCACCCAGTTGCGAATCACCTCCCTCCTCCATTTCTGTTCCGTTTCCAAGTCATGGCGCTCCTTGATTGACAGCCGCTGTTTCATCCTCAGCCACTACTCCGACTTTTACCAAATAGATTTTTCCGCCCTAAACGGCACCGTTCAGCTCAACTACCCGTGCCACGAACAATTTGTTGCATGAGAGAAAAATCTGTCTATTTTCGCTATAGGTACATCAAAATAATTTCCTAAGCTAGAAAATAAGCTAATCTGCAAATAAATAAATAAAAAGAAAAGAAAAGATGAGGTAAAAATAAATAAATTAAAAGTATGTTAAATGACCGATGCAACAATGAAGAATTAAGGTGGCGAATCACCTTAGTCAAATGCAAGGATGGGATTGAAATACCTAAAACAAACTCCAAAGGCAACTGCCATAATTGTTCTGATGATATCCCCCTTGTACAATCATTTAAAATATTATCTTCCTCACTGGGCCATACAATATATATTATATGACTACTCCTACATGCACATGCACATGCACATGCATGTTTTGCTTATAGACCAGATGATTTCCGTTAAAACTATCACTCTTCCTCACTGGATATAATAATGTTAGATAGTGCTTGGATCGATCTTATTACTGATATAATTAAAGTCTAAGGCTGATATATGTATGTTTTGGTAAATATACTCTCATTTTTTTTTAGGTGTTGAATGTTTGATGAGTTGATGAAGCCAGTTGTTATATATGATATCATTTCACGTGTGCGTCTGTCTAACTAATTAACTACCAGTTTACCTTAGGCCGGTAGTTGAACTTGTAGCGAAACCAACGGGTCTTGAATCGGGCCCCACCTCCGGGTCGACTCAGCTTGACCCGACGGGTTCCCCGCGTGGCTCACTGCTAGCAAATTTTTGTGGGATTCAGCTTCGTCATCATCTTCATCCATATCGTCTTGGTTGGGATTGGCGGTGGAGTGCTCCGAGAGGGCAGAGGATGGTGGTCTATGAAGAAGCTCTTCACATGCATGTTGGATGAAATTAAGGTCTTCTTGAACCTAAGAAACAAACATAAATATATATATATATATATATATATATATATATAAAGGGAAAGAAAGAGATGGTTGCTCAACAAGGTAACAACAACTTACGAGGGAATCTAAGGTTACCTTTTCCGTTGTGCCAAACTCAACGACACCGTTTAATAGAGGAATGCAAATGCACACCACCGTCTGTAGTTTGCATGGCCCCTACCATAATACAAAACAATATTAATTATTTAGGTCATTTTTTTTTTCTGTTTAGAATTAGACAATAATTGATTATAAAATTACACGTTTGACTTGGAAGAATTTTTACCTGTATACGAGCCGCTGCTTCATCTCCCTCCACACCAACCTCATCCTACCTTTTTTATTTATTTTTTTTGGGTGTGGAACCTCATCTTACCTTTACCAAATTAATAGATTTCCCCGCCATAAACGGCGCCGTTCAGCTCAACTGCCTGTGCCACGAACGCTTTGTCTACATCAGCGAAAAATCTGTCTATTTCCGCTATAGATTAGATATACATCAAAATAATTTCATAAGCTAGAAGATAAGCTAATCTGCAAAAATACATAGATAAATACATAAATAGAAAAGATGAGGTAAAAATAAATAAATTAAAAGTATGTTAAATGACCGATGCAACACTGATGAATTAAGGTGGCGAATCAACTTAAGGTGTATTGGATTAAGATTAAAAAAAGTTCAAATAAAATCTTTTATTAATTTTAAAAGACTATTTAGAATTAGAAGAATTTTAAAGACTTTTTTAAAAAAAAAAATTTACAATCAAAATTTCATAAGATTTAATAAAATTTATAAGATTTGAAAGGAAAATACGAATTAACAAACATTTAAAATTACGAAAGTCAATAAAAAATAACAAAAAAATGCAATAATAAAAAAAATAAAACCTAATATAATTTTCTCAATCAGTAAAATTTAATGTAATTTTTAACAAACACTCAAAATTATTAAGAGTGTGTATGACAATCATTCTGTTCTCTAGCACTGTTTCTGAAAAAAAAAAATCTTTTCTATTTCTGTGCCTTGGAACAGTTTCTGAAAAAAAAATATGTTTGATAACATGTTCTATTTTTATTTTGAAAATGAGAATTGTGTTTGATAATATAACAAATAATATAATAAAAAATAATTTCTATTAAGCATAAATTTTTTCAGATCATCACTTTCCTTTCCATATGGTGTGGTGGTGGCGGCGGAGGCGGCTTGGTGGTGGTAATGGTGGTGGTGGTAGTGACAGCAGTGGTTGTGGCGATGGTGGCGGCATAGTGGTGGTTGTAGTGGTGGTGGTGATGGCAGTGGCTGCGAAGGTGGTGGTGGCGGTTGGTGGTGGTGGCGGCATAGTTGTGGTGGTGACGGCAGTGGTTGCGAAGATGGTGGTGGTGGTTTGTGGCGGTGGCGATGGCGGTGGTAGTTGGTAAATGTGGTGGTGGTAAAGGTGATGGTAGTGGTGGTGGTGGTGGTGGCATCGTCATGGTGGTGGTTGGTGGCGATGGCGTGGTAGTGGTGGTGATGGTAGTGGCTGCGGCGATGGTAGAGTGGTGGTTGGTGACAGTGGTGAAAATGGTGAAGTCGTGGTGGTGGTGGTGACAGTGGTGGCTGCGTTGATGGTGGTGGTGGTGACAGCAGTGTGAAACCAATGCACTTAAATAAAGAGTTCATTTATAC